CCTTGAGGATGACCTCAAATACGAGATCGAACGAGCAAATTTTAAACCTGAACAAGCTAGAACACCTATTAGAATTCACCAACGATGTGACGTCTGAGGGGTACCTTCGGGTAAATTTAAACTTGATGGAACCCATCAAGCAAATTACGTTTTGATGGGATACCATCAAGCAAATATCTTCACAATTTGATATATAAATAGACATTTTTTTTACAATATATAATCATTTTTATATTAAATTTTTTATATGATTTCATATGAGTTATATTTTGATGATTTTATATGAAAAAATAAAGTTTAATTTTCAAATTCAATGAAAAAAATAATATGAAACATATGAAAATGGCATATTTAAAAATATAAAACAAAATAAAAAATATAATATGACACCATTATGATTTTAAGATAAAATTTTTTTCAATCTACTCAGATATACTTTCATATTTTGATTATACTTGATTTTTTATGAAAGGACATTTTTCCAAGAAATTACAATATGTTTGAAAGAGGCAATTTTTGTAATTAATTTTGGTTTAAAATTTGAAAAAAATAAAATAAAATTTTGGTATATGATTTTTTAATTTAAATTTTTTAATAGCCCCAAGCTCCTTACCCTTGGTAAAGCATGAACCTATTTTATTTTTTCAAATTTGAAACGTTTAGAAATAGTATAATGTATTTTAATAATAATTATAATAATTTACTATCTACTATAGGTCTAGTGCCCACATTTCTTATTGTAATCTTATTCCTTCTAGATTTTTATAGATAGTCTTGTAGATTTTTTTTCTTCTAGCACGCTCCAAGATCTTATGTTGTAACTCTAGAATTAGACTTCAAAAAAGATTTTAATTTGTGAAACCTCTAGTTTATTGTTTCCAAAGCTACTCTACAATCCCATCTTCCTCTATAGTGCTCTCAACATCACGAGCAAACAAATATCTAGTTCCTTCATTCATTGTATTCTTAGGTTTATCTGATATTAAAAAATACTACAGTTAGAAGGTTGCTAACTAGAAGCTTCATCATTTTGAAATATCATCTTGTCTTGTTTGCTGCTACGAGTTGAAATCAATTTTGGCCTTTGCTACTTCTTCCTTCCTTAGTGTCTTCCAATCTTCTCTTCTTTTGAACAGCAACATTCCAAGCAACTACTACTCGAGTAGTGATAGAATTAATCAACATCGGATTATTCCATCCAGACTTTCTCCTTACAATCTGAGCAAGTCATCTCTTCTTCACCTCTCCAATATTTTCAATCAAAGGTTGATCCATACTACTAATTTGAAAATAATAAACACTAGGATTTCCATAGTGTCTGGAGACTTTAGCAACTTTCTCCCTTAGCTTTTAATACATCAAAATCTTCATACCTCCACGAGATATATTTATTGAAACAAGCTATTGAAAATCAAAATATGCAATATTGCCCTCTACAAACTTCACATGACAAAGCTTTAGTGTGTATGTCAAATCTGCATAATTTTTCCTTTGATGCTTCTTGATATCACACTAAAACAATTCCATGTGTTTTGTGTATTTGATTAGACATACTCTTCTACTTCAAAGCTTGAATAACTAATTCAAGCTTGAATATCATTTTAGTCAATTTAGCAATCTCTAGATTGATCTCAAATGTTACACTCTTGATTTACTTCTTAGCACTTCACTTGAGCTAGACTTCTTCACTTCTATGATTCACACTTCTGAATTTTACATGCAACCTCTAGGCTAATTCTCACTCCGATAAACTTCAGATGGCTTTGCAGTAGCTCATCATGGTTCTAGAAGTCAGGAATTTATACTCAAAGTTGTGTTCCAAACATACTCTCACACAATCTTTTCATTCATTACTCAAGTTTACACACATCGACACTACAAGATACTTAAAATCTCACTCTTTCATTGATGAAACAAGTTTCTACGCGTGAATTTTTCAAATTGCTTGAGAGTTTATTTTTCATCACTCTTTATATAATGTTTAAAAAATTACCATAGTAACAAATGACAATTTTTATCTAACTTACTTTTACAAAGATAAACCTTAATATTTCTGACTGATTTCCAATATATGACAACATGCCATCGGACTCATTAACCTTCAAGAAGTTTGTATCAAAGTCTAGATTTCAAGTTCTTGAGACTTTGACTACATAATTGGTTTTGATTAGTTTGACTAACTAATGAATATTTCATGGGTTAGGTTAAGTCTAACGTTGATTTAATAATCAAGAGATATCTTTGATAGAAAAATATATATTTATGCTCACTTAAAACTTTTGGAAATCCATCTATTAATTTGCCTAGTTTAAAAATCATTGCTAAACTTAGTCATCATTAGATAAACTTAGTTATAATTAGCTAGATAAAATTACCTAAATCAATCATGATAAATTCTTTGGTTACGTCTGATCTACTTCACAAGTACAAAAGCTAGTAACTCCTTGATATCATAAGTGAAGTTTATTCACACATTTTCAGATATGAAAGGTACAAAGCGCTTAGGAAGAAATTTTTTTGAAGCACTCTTGTATCTAATTGCGTCAAAAAACATCATCCAATCACCTTCCTTGAATGACTTGAAATTCACTTGTCGTGGTATCTTTTATGCAATTGCTGAGATTGTTGTACTCTTACCATGACCTAGTTTGAGCTTCATCCAACTCCATCAATTGTTGCTGGCGAGACTTGATAGCTCCCACTCCATTTGTCTTCTTCAACTTTTTTTGGATTGTCATGAAGTTTGTCAAGTCAAACAATATGGTAAGTTTTGACTCAACTCCATACACCATAAAAAAAGATGAGTGTCTAGTATATGTCTTTCATGTTGTCACGTACTCCCACAAGATAGTATGAAGTTTATTAATCCAGTTTTGCTTGTATACGTCCATGTCTGCATCCTTGTTCAACATCATACAAAATGTATAATTGGTACTCTTCGCCAATCCATTAGCACTAGTTTCATAGGAAGTTTTAACTCAAGCATTAATGAAAAATTGTTCTAGTATGGTTTGAATAGCACTCCCCACAAACTTTACTCCTCTATTCAATACTAATTCTAAGGAACAACCAAATCTAATGATGATTTTTTTTATACAAAAATCTAACTACTTGCTTGTCATTAGTAAATTTCAGTGATGTGAACTCTAATCACTTGGTAAGATAATTAGTAACTATCACAATGAATTTATTTATGTGACGAGTAAAATTCAAAGAATCTAAAGAATCAATTCCTCATTTCTCAAAAGTATCTAATACTCTAATTGAAATCAAAGGAGATATTTTCAAGTCGTATGTGCACTAGCCGCAATATTTAATCTTATTATGAATATGATGTATATGGTTACAACTCATGCATGTGTACTTCAAGGACAATGTTGATTGTAGCATATGTTTAATCATGCTTGAGATGTGGCAACAATTGAAAAAATGTTGAATCCAAGACGATGAGATCTATGTCAAAGAGAAAGATCCATTTGAGATAGATCTCAGTTTAGAGGTAGCTTTCTTCAAAGTATGTGGCTAGAGTGGCCACATTAAAAAAGATTGTTCAGTAAAGATCAAATGCGATGTTATTATTTCATTGGCAAATGTTGCAAATTCTGATTGATGGAATGTTGGATACTAGACAACAAGATCCATGTATATGATTCATAAGAGAAAAAGATCTCAATATAGAAGTAGATCTCTTGAGAGTAAGATAATGACTTGTTGGGGATGTGGCAAGAGTGGTCACATCAAGAAAAAGATTGTACTTTGAAGATCAAAGTCACAATTTTTTATTCCATTGGCGAAAGTTGCAAACTCCAATTGGCAGAATGTTGAATTCCAAACAACGAGATCCAGACATTTGACCCCTGAGAGAAAGAAATCTTAATCTATGAGTGAGAGTAAGATGGTGGCTTGTTGAAGATGTGGCAAGAGTGGTCACATTAACCATGATTGTAGTATAAGTGTCAAAGATGATGTTTCCTCCGCCATTGATGAATGATGCGTTGGACTTGTTTTACTCTATAGTCCATGCATGGACTATCAATCTATAACTACCTCATAAGAAAAGCTATGCGGAAAGAATAAACTAATTCATAGAATGATATGTGCTAATAGCTAGAAGATTGGAAAAGGTCAACCCAACTCTCTCAATTCTCTAGACTCTTTCAAAGGTAGATGGTAATGAGAAATCTTCAATCTACTTGCCCTTTATGTTATGATTACTATAAAATGTAGATGGAAATGTATGAGTGCTCTTCTGCATGGGGTATTAGCCTCATACCTACTCTCGTTTCAATCTTGAAATACTCATATTGACAATAAATTACTTCTTGCAGTATTTTACTTATTTGATTTGATAATAAATACACATGTACCTATATATGATGTATCATCACATATGACATAGTGCATTGATTATATTTAGAAGTACAGGAAGAGATAAATCTCCTCGTCAGTGCTGAATTATAAAAAATTTAAGAATTTAGGTGATAATTTTCACATCATACTTGTAGCTTTATATCGGAAGCCTGCAATAATCACGAGAATTGCTTCGTCACTCAAAAACTAAATCGGAGCAAGAACGCTGGTTCGGATTCATGGATCGCTTCGATGCGCATGAAGCAGTTTCGTCTTCGGTGAACAAACGGTAACGGGGGGATTTTAATAGCAGACCACCATTAATTTCGTCCACGAACTCACAAGCGCGTAAAACGGGCAGAGGGCCGATCCAGCGGTGCTAGAGGCCCGTTTTAGGGAGCGGGGCCTCGGGGAAGGCGGGAGAAGGAGAGGGGCAAATTTTATATGTAGTCGGAACCGATAAGAGGGAAGGAATGGGTGCTAAATTAATGCACAGGCCGAATGTGGCCGAGTCCCTTAGGATTGTGCCCTAAGGAGAACGAGGGCCCGAGGCGAAGGGGCGAAAGGGCCGGGGAGGGGAAGGGACACGAGAGGGCAGGAGCCGAAGCGCGGTCAATCGGAGCGAGCGAGGGAAGGGAGGGAGGGAGGGACGAGCGAGCGAGAGGCGAGAGAGCTGGCAGGCGCAGGGAGGAGGAGGAGGAGGAGGGTGGTGGAAAGTGCATGAAGCGAGAGAGAGAGAGAGAGAGGGAGAGAAGCGGCACCGCGAGCGCAATCTCGAGTTCCGAGACTTTCAATTTGTCTGCGGACGAGGGACGAGGAAATAGCGTTGCGAGAGATCAACCGTTTGCTGTTTTAATAGATGGAGGCGCCACCTCTGCTGCAGCACCCTTACGCTATGATGCAACAGCAGCAACAGCAGCCGCAGCATCTGTCTCAGCAACAGCCGCAGGGTCAACAAGCTCCCCATCAGCATCAGCAGCCTCAGCAGCAGCCCCAAGCTCCTGGGATTTATGATCAGCAGCAGCAGGGTGGAGGTCAGCAGCAGCAGGGAGGAGGTGCTCTTTTGCAGTCTCCTTCGAGTATGAATAATTCGTCCAATAGTATCATCGGCCAGAAGCGTGACAACTCTGGCCATCCTATCAATGCGAATTCTCAAGGTTTGTGGTTTTCTCGGCTGTATGTGCTCTTTGATGACATAATTGTATATTGTTTTTTTTTGTTTTAAAGTAGCTGCAAGCAAAGTGAGCAGCGCCGATAGAGATTTCTGTTCAGGTCAAGAAGGAGGAGGAGTTTTCACTTTTGTTACCCGCTGCTTGTCCGGAAAAAGTACCCGACGTTGTGTTTTTCGACCCACGGAGGCGTTCGATAGTAAAGAAAGTAGTCTATCTACTCAAACCGGCGGCTCTAAGAAAATAGTCTACCATTTTTAATTCCTAGGTCTGTGGTCTCCATTTCGAGCGCCAGGTCTAGTGACGAAACTTCTGACGTTTTCCTAAAGGAAGAGGAGTAGGTTTATGGTATAATCTTTGTTCATCAGGAGTCAATATGGGAATCTGTGGAAGCGATGTCAGCTCTAAAGAGAGCGGTGACAATCTTGGACTGCACGGGGCTATAGTTAGAGAAGTTTCTTTGATACACACTCTGGTAGCAAGATGCCTCGAAGCTCGTGAACCTGTGCATTGCATCCCATCCCGATATCGGAAAGATACGTGACGTGTTTCTTGTCTGACTTGCAGATTCGCAGGATGGTGGAAATTTTGTAAAGCTTTTTGTGGGATCAGTTCCCAGAACTATTAGTGAGGAAGAGGTAAACATATCAATCCTAACCCCCCATGCGGAAACTTCGGTACCATTGGACAATGAACTATTGCGTTTTCTTAGCTGATGACGGACATGGTCAATAGTTGAAACGTAGCGACGTGTAAGCGTAGTTGACATTCAGACCAAGTTTTATCCGGATAATCTGACCGTGCAGGAGTTTTCTTAGCTGAGATGTCTTGAGTTCAAAAATTTCAAACCTAGTATCGTGTAGTGCAGTGAACACAGGCGCATATGGCTTCCAATTTTTCTTCCAACTCTTCTACCTTTATTTTAAACATTGCAAGATTACTGGAGCAGGTTCACAACACAGGGTTTTACAATTAGGTCTCCGGGTAGAGACCGTTACGGAGCAGGTCGATTATGAAAGACAGAAACACAGAACCTTGTCTTTACCCCTTTCACGCAAGGGCTAGTCGGGGTCAAACCCAAGCCGTCGTTTCCGTGAGGTCATCAGCGGCTTACTGACAGTGGAACGCTTGAAAATTTGGGGTTAGGTACGCCCGTTGTTTGCAGAGCACGGAAATGTTTTGGAAGTCGCTCTAATTAAGGACAAAAGAACGGGACAACAGCAAGGTATGTATATCTCGGCTACTAGTTGTTTGTTTCAGATTAGTTGAATTCCATGCGCTTAGCTGAGGTATATGTCGGAGGAGAAAAGAGCCCGACTTTATTTTTGAATTGTAGAATTAGACTACAAAATTTCTTATTGACCAGATTCAGAGTGTTCCGTCACTACTAGCAGTTGCTACACTTATCATGAGAATTCAGAAGATTTGACAGTGGACGCTGGTGACTATAATGTATCCCAATCACAGTTTACTGATGTGCTTAAGCCGACAGATTGTCCCGCCTTCAATACTTATGACGCTTATGTCCAATCCCCGACGTAGCTTGCAAACTTGACATTAGGATCTGAATCGATATTATGATTATCTTGTACTGAAGTGCTCGGAAGCTAGAGGTGTTTCAGTTCACTTTCGATCTCTTCAGCAACTCGTTAGTCCTCTTAGTGTACAATCTCTCTGGACTTGTGTCTATGGCTTTCTTGTTGTTAGTTCTGATTTATTAAAGTCTCTTCTGGGAGGGATTGTCACAGCAAGAGTAAATTCTGTATAGGATGATGGGACGTCATGTTGCTCTCCACCTTCCTTTGAATGGAATGAAAGAACTTTTTACATTAGTTTTGCTTATGCATGCCGCAAGTAGACTAGCTCAACCTGTGTGAAAGCATCGCCCTCATGCAGCTTGAAGCTTTCTCTTACTTTTCATCATGCACATGCGAATGAGGTTGATGTGAATGTATGCCTTTGCTTTGATGAAACTCGGGTAATGCTATTCATGGTAACTTATGGATGGCAATGGTTCAGCCATGCTAATTGAGAGGGTCAATGCTCGCTCAATCGACGTGTCACAGATCAATGCTCGGCCAAGCCCCCTCAGTGCTGACAGCGATTGTTGCTGCATAGACTTTAGCCCTTCCATTTGACTTGGTAGGAGGTACACCACATGGACAAGATACGAATTGCAGAATGCCACACTGTGCAGACGTGGCCTTGTGGTCAGACTATGAAAAGGTGCCAGGTGCCGCGCCTCATCATACCAGGCCACGAAGCTCTTGTGAGTGAGTATTGCTCATGTGTCTTCTGCGGCACCATGGTGTGCTCTCTCACACGTGGTTCCTCACAAGTGGATTGCTGCTCGTGGCATGGATGTGTGCAATTATACACACTACTAATTTCTGTAGATGGATCGAGCTGAGAGGACAGTGCTTCTCAAGTTGAATGAATGATTCAGATCATATCCTATAGTACATGATTGACCTTGATTTGGATGTCTACTTTCGAATTTAGATCTCCAGGCTGTGGATGTCTTGTTGGGTGTGTGGAATTTTAGTGAGTTCAAAGCACGCACTCTGATGTTGTCTGCTTAGATTCTTTGCCCTGTTTTACAGTGGAGTTGGTTGGTTTTAACTCGGATCCTAGGCTTCTGGAACAACCAAGCTATGAATGTCTCGTCCATTGAATCTTCCATCCCAACCTGTGAATGCCAACTGCGATAGAGTACGATCGTGGCTAAGATTTTATTATAGACTCGAGCCATCATTTTCAAAGCCCTCACTCTTGTGTTGTGGCCTTTGGTCAGTGAAGCTCTTACTGGGTAAAGTGCTTGACCATATGGACGAAGGTCCTGCATGTACAGCATCTAATCATGGACAAGGGTTTTTGTCAATGCTTGCTAAATGCACTCAGCCATCATGTAGCCGTCAGATGCTTAGTTTCATCTAGTACTAGATAAAAAGAATTACATTCCTGCTAGGGCGAATAGAAAAATCCGAAGCCACGTCAGACTGTATGAGTGACTTCCCTCTGGTTCATACTCCTATCTAAGAGGTGGCATCGCTAACAGCACTGATAACGATTCTGTTTGTGTAGGATGTTGTTTTATCAAGTACGGTACCATCGAAGAAGCTGAAAGAGCAATAAGAGCTCTAAACAATCAGCGAACGTTGCCAGGGGTAAGTTTCTGCCTCACGAAGTAAATGTCAGTGGGTATTTCTTTCCTGGTTATTGATGCTCTCTGGCTAGTATAATTAATCACTTTGCGTTGTTACGCTGCTGTGCAGGGCACAGCACCAGTCCAAGTGCGCTACGCCGATGGAGAACGAGAACGTCTTGGTATGGTTCCAAAGTCAATAAGGAGTAGACCAATCGTCGTATTTATGTCAGCCGAGCGAAAGTAGAATGTCGGGAAGCTTTTCCTTTTTAGAACAGGATATCTGAAAGTTTTCATATCTTTGTAAGTTGGACATTTTGTTATATTCCTTACCGCATTTTGCTGTTATAAGGTATCTCAATATCGCCAACTTTCAGCAGGTTATACATTGTTACGTTTCGCATAATGCATTGATGTAGTGTAACATCAAACTGCTTGACTCTTATTTCGTTTCAAGCATATACGCAATGTTACTGACGGTATCTTCTTCATTAGTTTTCTCTCTTACGGTAGGGGATTGTAGAGGTCCTGTGTTTTCGTTAACATTCGTTCATTTGAATTTCTGTAACCAAGTCATTTCTGTGGTTTGGCTCAGTTTTTAGCCCTTGTTTCGAATTGCTACCACCAAAGTCCTTGTATCTAAGCGTACTAAAAAAATTTATCGGATTCAGGTGCCGTGGAACACAAGCTATTTGTTGGATCTTTGAATAAGCAAGCTACAGAGAAGGAGATCCAAGAAGTGCGTTCCAACATGGATCTCATTTGAGATATCATCAATTATACGTTATTTGCTCAATTCATGATACTTTACGATTTGGGTTTCATGCTCATTGTGGTTTCTGATTTGACGTACAATTGCGCCTTGTAGCTCTTCGCTCCCTACGGTCGAGTCGATGATGTATACATCATGCGAGATGAGCAGAAACAGAGCCGAGGTTTGTAGATAATTCCACCTGTAGTCGTTGAAATGTCAGTATGTCATGAGTCTACCAGTCTCAAATGCGACTGATTCGAATTCTGAGATCAAATGTTTAAGTTTGTGTAAAGCAATCGAACATAAGCTTCAAATTAAAGTGAGTACGAAATCTGTCCGTCGCTTGACTGTAGAGATGTTTTACCTTGCCGTTTTGAACTTCACGTGGGCGTTGTGTCAGGCTGCGCATTTATCAAATATCCTACCCGGGAGATGGCTACTGCGGCAATCACTGCATTGAATGGAATTTATGTGATGCCGGTAATTTGATCTTACCAAATTGACCTAAGTCTCACCTGCAATATCTCGCGAACTAGTTGGTATCGAGACTTCAGTGAAAGTTTGCCAAGTGATTAGATTCTTCTCATGTTCGGACATTAGGAAGTCCACTCGTACCTTGCAGTTTTTCTGAGTGAATGAAAGATAAGCTTTGGCTGTTAAACTTCATTATTATTTGGCTTTTGGAATGATTACTACCCAGTTACACAAGTTTTATGTAATTTCATGTTTTAACCATATGTTTTATTCAGGGATGCGACCAACCTTTGGCTGTGCGGTTTGCTGATCCCAAGAGGCCTAAAGGTGGCGACACAAGGTTTGTCACTGATTCATGCCTTTCATTTCTTGTAATGTTGGAAACCTCTATGCTCTTACCTGTATTTTGCTGGTTTTGTCATGAAACGACGTTTGCACGTAAAGCGCAGTTTGCTTATGTACAATCTCTTTCGCAGGGTTGGTGGCCCTGGATTTGGGGGACCAGGTTTTTCTCCACGGCCGGGATCTGTTGGAAATAGGTACAACTAGACTGTCTTTTGCTCCGTACCATTTCTTCCCCTTTCTTGTTTCTGGGAGTTGTTTTCTAATTAATTCCTGTGATCATTTTATATGTGTTTTACAGACCTGCACCTGCCCCGATGGGCGGACAAATGGGAGGTCGAGGGCCACCTATGGGGTGGAGACCTATGGGAGGTCCCGGTATGGGACCTCAACCGCAGTTGGGACCAGGTTATGGAGGTGGTATGGGCCCAAGAGGGGGACCTGGCAGCGGGCCGTCACCTATGGTAAGTGTTAGGATCCGCCGGTACTTTCCCTGTCTGCCAAAGGATGTAGTGAAATTTGCATTCTTCCATTCCTTCGATCTCCTAACAGTGCCACGTACATACTTATGTCGTTTTCAAGCTTTTATGTACAATAGCCTGACATCTCTATTCTCGCCAGGGTGGTCCTCTACCCGGACCAAATGGCCCCATGAACGGCCACCCTCAAGGTCCTATGGCAGTACCAGGTCAAATGGTCGGTCCAGGAATGCTGCCACCTACACAGCAACAGGTGAGCAAGAATTAATGATTTCTGCTGAGGTTCCACTTTCATTCACACGTCTTCGAATTTTATTTGTTACAGGCGCTCAACAAACTTTTATCTACACAAAGAGTCGGCTCCAATCTAGAAGAGTTAGTCTTGAAGTTTTTGACAAGAGTTGAAATTTTCAGGGTTATTATCAGCCAGCCAATCAAAGACAACCGCAGAATTATGGACAGCAAAGTTCTCCTCAACAACAGCAGTACGGACAACTGCCTGCTTCGCAACAGCAACAGCCGCAACAACCGCCCACTCAGCAGCAACAGTTGTTGTCAATGCAACCACAGCTACAACAACCTTTGCAACTCACACAAGTGCAAGCAGCTACTCAGCAACAACATGCACAGCAACTTCAACCTCAGCAGCAGCTACAACCCCAGCAGCAATTACAACCTCAACAACAGCTGCAACAGCAACAGCCGCAGACCATGATGCAACCTCAAAGCCAGCAACCTCAACAACAGCCAACTCAGCAGCAGGCACCATTGCAGCAACCCCAGCAACAGCAGGTAGACATGCTTGTACATAGCAAAAAGTAGACTTTGGTAAATAGAATGAAGTAATCCGGTTGAGTTCTGTTCATGTGTGTTCTGTAATGCCCTTCATTGTCATGGCTCTATGATTACCTTATTAGTTTTTGAGTTCATTATTGTTTGTTTGATACTGTGAAGGTATACTATCAGGTGCCAGCTATGCAACAGACACAGCAGCAGGTGCGACTTCTCATCCTTTTTCATGATGAGATGTAGTTGTTGGGTTTGCGTAATCAGTGACTATTGTAGAGTTGTAATGATCACAATAAAGAGGACTAAGTCGAGGCGTTTGCTTGACAGGCATCGTGGTTGCTTCCGGTACAACCGCAAACAGTGGCTACTCTTCCACCCCCACCAGCCATTCCTACCACTTGCGAATGGACAGAACATACTTCTCCTGAAGGTTACAAGTACTATTACAACAGTTCCTCCGGTGAAAGCAAGGTGAGGAATTTGTTGGTGGTTTCGGTTCTGCGATATTCCTGATTTTTCTGTCTTTAAAAATACGTGATGTCATCCTTTATAGTGGATGTTTAATAGAATACTACTACTTCCAGACCTAAGATCCTTGTCACATTCCCGTTTGTTTCCTCTCTTTGTCAACTAGCCGTGGCCATAGATCATTTTTGCCTGTTGAAATTTGCAAATGTGTCTATCAGCTCGGTCAAGGAAAGTGTAGGATTACATTTAGATTCGTACTCTTATGCATAATTGAACAGAGGGAATGTGTTTTAGACCATTGCAACTTGTATTTTGACCATCCGTTGCTTTACTGGATCAGTGGGAAAAACCTGACGAACTGATAGCGTTTGAGCAACAACAACAGCAGCAACAACAGATTCAACAGCAAGCAGTTACTACTCCTGTAAGTAGATTTTGAAGAAGACTTGGGTCATTGTAATTTGTCGGAAGGGCACTTTGTCGTATTTACTACCCTACGTCTGCTGACTCTTGGACGCTTGGGTACTTGGAAGCCGTTCGATGCGGGCCCATTCGATATATAAGTAACCACGAGTAGTCATTTTTCAGATTATACTTACTGAGATTGCACTTTACTTGCAGCAATACTCCGGGTCCGCGGTCATTGCACAGCACCCAATACAGGTATATCTCCTCCTCTACTAGGTTCCCGTTCATAAATGCGAGTATCAATCTTTGCAGCCAATGAACTGAACAAACCATGTGCTAATCCTTGATTATATTGTGATCTGGTCTCGGGCAGGGACTTAGTTATGGGCAGCCACAAACTTCGAATGGCTCTGTTGATCAACCCAGGCAACAGGTACGTTAAACCTGAATCTGCACGTCTTGCTCGTTCCCTGAAATGTGAATTGTTTTGTTCACAACAACTCATCATTGTTGTTCCATAATGGCTGGCAAAATCCCATCAATAACGTTCTAGCTACCATCTGCCTTCCACACCAAGAGCCTTCTTGGAGCAAACAAGGCTCCATCAATGCTTGGATCCACCCTCAATACATACATGAGTGGAAATGTTTGCATTGTCATTCATTGTCATTCAATGAGAGGGAACCTTAAATGAAATCTGAAGTTCCATACATATAAAGAATCACCACCCTGAGTGGAGAGTTCCCGAAAGAGGCTCGTAAATCGTAGAAGCCCAGGTTGTCACCAATGAGTTTACCTTACATGGTGATGCTCTGGTCAACTACTCATTACACCCCATACTTCACAACCACATAGTGAATCCTCCTCATCAAGCAGCACCTAGATTTAGCTTGTTATGAAAAACGTCACACATTCAGGTTCCGACCTTCATAGCATGAGATTGTGCGTGTGCCTGTCTGCCCTTCTCATGCTGGCCATGGTCTATGCAGGGACCTCCGGGTGCCAACTTATTTGTGTTCCGCATTCCTGATGACTTCACAGATGAGACCTTGAAAGAGACTTTTGCCCCCTTTGGTAAATATCCTCTGCTCTTGTGATTGACCAAACCTAGGTGCTCATAATGGTGCTGGGTTGGGATATAAAATGGACATTTGTGTGGGTGGCCCAAAATGAGTTTCATCTACTGATGCTAATGTTTATTTGCTTCTTGTGGCTTAGTCCACTTTGAAGTACGCCCTATATCAAGTCGTCCTTCAAGAACGACTTGCCCAGTCAGGTGGCGAATATGTCAATAATTTGTCGTTAAAATTGACCCTTAGCGATGGTTGTGTCTTGCAGGGAATGTCATCAGTGCCAGAGTGGGCGTGGAAAGGGAAAGTGGGAGGAACAGGGGATTTGGGTAAGAACGGATGTGATTTTCCTGTTTTTAAAGCTTTCACTTTAGACAGTTGAGTAAACAGGAGCTGAATTGACAACACTCGCGACGTTCTTTACAGGTTTGTAAGCTATGACAATGCTGCATCAGCTGAGGCCGCCATACAAGGACTTAACAATGTTGCCATTGGTGGTAGGAGACTGAAGGTACGAACATGCATCACAACGCCGTCGACGTTTCGTTTGTAGGTTCTTGTTTTGATCAAAGAGTTGGCGGATTCGTTTCTTCTGATACTTGGTTTTCAAATGTTTGACAATGAGCAGGTAGAAAGAAAGCGTGGTGAACAAACAACCAGGACAGACGGCGACCAGAACTTCCAACCCTACTAGCTTTAGCATGTTTGCTCTTAGGACTCATTCCGATGTTTGTAGCAAACATCAATTTTCCACCCCCAGAAATCTAGACTAGGAAAGTAGGAATTGCAGTAAAGACTGCATGTATTTCATTCCCCCCTGTAACCTAAAATTTGGGATATTTGCTGTCACGAGGTGTCGTTCTGAAATATTATGGCATGTGACTAATGGTCTTGTATTCGATGTACTGCGATATCGTTTTGGAGTTTATTGTTGTGGTAATATTGTTATGGAAATTGTGTGCCCCAGTGCAAATTAAATGCCGTTGATTTATAGAGCTGGGAGGTCTTACTTGACAAATGAGTTTTATCTGTCTTGGGCTTTTTGTAATAGATTTTAATGTCAAACACATCACCTTTCGGGAGACGTATGCTCTTTCTTTTCATTTCGCCGCAAGCTCGTAGTTTAAGATTTACCAAACTTTGAACACTAAGGCATGAGGTTGATGGATGGGATGTAGTATGCGATATATTTGGACCTCATCCTTGAATAATGGTGGGGAATTAGCTGTTGTGGGAACACATCTTGTTTATGGGTTTTATGCTCAAACTTTTACTCCTAAGTCAGTGCTAGTGCGTAGCGGTTGAAAAGGTTTAAAGCCTAGACATAGATCAGGTGGAAGAAGTACACGTGAAAATCCGCTATCGTTGACGAAACGAGGTGTTCACATCGGAAAATAAATGACAATTTGTAAATACGGTAATACTTGTAGAATTTACATGTTTAAAGCAATAAGAAAAGAGATTTAAGTCTACAATGTTCTAAGAGAAGCCAAGAATGGGAGGGAAATATGAATCGCAAACATGAAACCTTTTGAATTGGGAAAATGAAGTTCGTCTGGATCCTGGTGTAACTCTTTTTAATGTATAGTGAATGACCGCATCCATTCAAGGATCATATGATGTAACACAATGCTTTTCCCGAGGACAAACAGAGTCGCGTAGATTCAACCTCCTCCAACAATTTTAATAGATATGTTTAATATAAACTTTTTATTCTTATATATCTACATAAATACAGTGAATAATAAAATCCATACTGTTGATAAATAGACATCATTTACAGATTATACATTGTCATAAAGAAAACAACTATATATATATATATATATATATATATATATAACACGATTAAATTATTTGATGGGATCCTAAGTAAAATAAACAAACTTGTGATACCCAACAGTTTTCATTTTACAGATCTTCATTGTGGATCTCTCGTTGTATGGTGAGTTCGGGCGAGAAAGAGTGCTCCTGGTGATGAGATAGGCGCTGCCATGCATTCTGCCCAATGGCGGAGAGAGGCAAGACATGGGAACGATGATAAATGTTTTCGCGGAGGCCCTGCAATTGGAAAGCGAAATCTTCGAGCATCAGTAACACGTTCTTCACCCAACTACTCTGGGCAGCTGAAGCCCGCATTTCCTCCAGAGGCTTTCACAGCTACTTCTGGCTCTTATCCATCGTCTGAGATTTACACCCGTCCATCTTGGAAAACTGAACCCAGATAGATAGATCTTGAGAGACAACCGATGTCAATCGATCTGTTGAGGCTAGGATTCCATGTATGATTCCCTTCAATTCAACTTCTCCGGATCTTAGCAACCATTGTCAAGCACACAGTTTCCTACCAGTTTATACCCAATGGTGCTTCCTTTGGTATATTTCGGGTAAGAAACTTTCGCTGTTTTTTCAGATGCAGATATGGCAAGACGCTATCGGGAGTACTTGAGCACCATGGTGAGAGAGCATTTCTGAGACACGATGCGGACGAGTCGCCAAATTACTCTCGACGGAGAGAGTATTTTGGCAAACACTGTCCATACTACAACAAAAATTATCAGGTTATAAGAACTTTGATTAAAACCTGTCCTACTGTGACCTGCATCGACCTGGAGTGGGTCCCATTCGGTAAAATGAAACCTGTTAGGTCCCATCAAGTAATTTGAGTTTCACATGGGTGGCATCAAGTAATTACCTCTATATATAACTCTTAATCTTTGAGAATCCACGCGTTTTTCTGAACTGATACACACTTGCCTAACAGTGAAAAAGTGAAGGTAGTTGTTACAGATGTGCAAAACATGTTCAGTTTAAGAAATAAATACACGTAACTGAAAATGGCGGATTAGCACGGATTAGCACGCATTAGCCGTGTAACATTCCGCTCCTTGCATTCTCTGTACTATGAACTAACTGCACATAGATCGACTTTTGCGCATACACTTAAAGCACGAACGACTGTTGCGGTAGGGAAATAAGCACTCGCAGAAACTATTGCAAGGATCCGCGAATTTGCAAGAATTGTTTGCACAAGAGGTACTAGATTCTTCTGGAAAGAAGTTGCTTCCAACACAGAACTAGAATATCATCAGATATTTCACTTACACTGTATCCAGCAATCCCAAAATTTCTTTTGGTTTAAAGAGACCTTTTGTCATCTGAGCACAGGTGGACTTACGCACTCAGACCTTATCCCTTGATTTTAAACGTCCACACACCACCCTGCACCTGTGTGAAGGTTTAGAATCAGCCTCAGGTGAAATTAAAACTTCCACACAAGTACATCGTAAAGCTTCTCACATCAGCCGGCATGCCTGATGTGGGAAGCTTTACGATGTACTGCAAGAAAGGTGTCTGCTTCCAGCCATTCAGTTTCCCTTCCCAAATGGTTTACTTCCTGGACATGTCCACATCGCAGGGTAGACAGATAGTTTTTCCATGGGGCTGAGATTGTCATCTAAGTCCATAAAAATCTACCTCGCAAACTCGTGATTAGTTATACAATTCGTGGTTGAGCACGCAAGTTAGTAGACGTGAAGTGGAGCATGTTGCGAAGCCTTCCTCATGATGGCGCGAGGTCAGTTTTGGGCTCCACAATTTCGGTGCCATCTCCTGACAAATCAATCTCCTTGTTTGTAGCCTTCGTCTGCTGCTGTTCAGCATCTCTCCGACTTAATGCCTGTACACGTCATTTGGTAGATCAACCTAAACTCCTTCAAAACTCCTTAATGTTCACTTCATAGAAGATGCTAAGAACTCCTTCAGAGGACAAGATGGGCATATCCTTACTCTAGAAAGCATATCTACACATATCCTACCACTTCCACCTGATACGACCAAGGATACGAGGAGTAACTCCACTGTTTCGAACACTTAACTGGTGCGGAAGCAGGCAATATGAAATGGATTATCGTCACTAGCACTTACACGTTAAACCTTGAGACTATTTCACTTTGTCCACTCATTCTACGTACAATTTTCAGTGGTGAAGTTTATGGGCGCTACGATCGATCAGTTCGTTTTGGTCCACTGGATAAGAAGAAAGAGTGCAAGTGAATACATACCTCTGGTAGCACATACATGAACTTTGTTTCTTGCTCATACGAAACAGGTCGGTAGCCAACACACAAATCACAAAGTTCACAGTTGTATCGAAATTGCTTCTCTGTTCCCTTCTCCCTGCAAATCGAGCTCTTGTGAATGATTGTATTGATTCAGTTTTTATCAAGATAATATCAAGATAAGTTCTCTTAATAAGAAGACAATTTTAGCACTAACAAAATCTATGTTGATACATTACAATGTGGTTGATACCCAAGAGACGAACGTTGTGATGAATTCTTACCTCTTCAAGAGCTTCACACCTCCTTTAGCACACATCAAGTGCACTAGATCTTTTGCCATGTCAACTACTCTTGACCCATCCGTCTTTCTTGCCGGAAGCTCCGTCAGTGGAACAACTGCATTTCGTCAGACAACCTACTTATACAAGAAATTGGTCCTTTCTGGTCACATCCGAGGATTCTACAAACAATCTTCATAGCCATGCAGAAAGAAGTTTGAATGGAGATTCGACAATAAATTCTGACAGACATGCTCTTCACTACTCAGCGTACCAAGTTTTAGGCAAAAGTGTGAGCAGGCTGAGCAGTGATAGTGTATCCGTGTGGCATCAGTCTCTTGTCTCTTTCGCTTTTCATCCTCCCGTTTTCGAACACTCCACCCTCCTCTTTCTTCATTATCGTCCTGAGCCATTGCACAGTATAAAAAGCGTTAGCTCGATTTTCAGCTACGGCGTTCTCATCTTGTGCATGAAGGAATCCTCCCCATATAACAAAAGTCCTAGGAGTCAAACGAGCCGGACCTTATCATAGCTCACAAGTATCCCTTCATCAGTTGGGCTGAATTTATGACTATTCGTCCTCCAAATCGCTGCGGTGGCCTGCAATTCCAACGTCTTCTTCATTCTTGGCTAAAACTTTAGCGAAACTAGAACGACTCTAGACAAGAAAACTGCAAATGCCGTACAAGCCATGATTGGAACTAAATGCGCTCATTATCTTAGTTATCCATGTACTTAGTTTTGAAGTCAATGCAGATTTGCTTTGGAAACGAGATATCTCCAGGCCTGAACCTTGACAATGACAAAGAGGAATGGTAACAAGAATTTCATCGTCGACATGCATGGCAAGTGGTCATCATGACGTGCAGTCTCATATTGACGAATGCGAATTACTTAGTAAAGAATGAGTCACGAGCTGGACCTGCTGCTTAGACTGGAAATCAACAAAGCACATTGAGCGCACCTACACAGCCCGTCGGCACAGCACATCAGTATCTGTCTCCCATTGAATCCCATCGTGATTGCTTGCAAAATCATGTCAATAAAATGTCGAAATCTTTAGTATTAGAATCTTTGTCTACCTCTATCAGGAGCATTATTACTAAATAGCATTACCAGTATGGCCATAAACACATTCAAGGAGATTCTGTAATTCTGAGACCACTATTTTACTATAATTATTGTAAAATCCGATGATCCGATGTCGAACAACATCCTAATCTAGACATAGAATCGAGGGTTGGTGATGTCAACTTACCCTCCGAAATGCTACAAACCCATCCAAATCCTTGAAGAGCTGAAACCATTGTCGAACATAACCACAGTTTACATGTCAGTTTACTTGTTTGCAATTTCTAGGTGATTTTATAATACTTCTGGTAAGCATTTGCTACTACGGTCGCTATGGGCTGATAGAGTACTTCAGTTCCGAAACCATGCCAGTAATAGTCTATCATGATCTCAATCTAGCCATGTATAAGCTTTACAAAATACATCGTTGAGGAATGACTGTAACCTAATTTCACAAGCCGTTTGAGACCAAGGTCGCAAGTCGATGAATGCTACTTTGAAACCATATCGCCACTTAATTTCAAAATTCTAGATATTCTGGAGGACTCGGAGCGTATTGGTGATCTGCGCTTTGCACTAGGAACGTCACAAGGCGCATAACCTAAAAGGGTGGACAGTGAGATGTGAATTGACCATACTAGTCGTAAATATTAGTAGATACAGGCAAGACTAGATGATGAGAATTGCTCCTTTGAGAAATTTCAGCTATTATTGCACAGCTCTCATCGGAAACTTTTAAAATGCGGATAAGAGTATGTTTTCAAGTACGGAAATCAGCCACTTCGAAGAACACAACAGAAATTCGGCAGAATCAGTGGAAACAGTACATGCCATTATCTATGATTCGTGGGGTTTTCCTGAAAAATCTTGAGTAACAGTTCATTCAACGGCCTGCAAAGGTGAGAAGCAAAATGATCGCCTAAAGCAAACGGATTTTGCTACAGGCGAGGGGCAGGGGCCCTCAGTGACAGGTGGGTACCATCTTCGCAAAGGAGAGGAGCCTTACGTCTTCAACAAGAGAATTTGAAGTGGAAGGGGGGACGTTCGTAACATATAGCGTTCGAGAAGTGTGAAGCCATCGTCCGTCTTTGAACGTGCTCCTTTTGCTGCTATTACTTACACCCTGCTTCATCTCTTCTCGATACGCATTACCTTCCTTCTCATGCGCAGTCTCCTCAGCCCAACTAGTTTCCCGACCTACCGCACATCATTGTGCAATTCAAAGCATAGATCAATGAGGTCTCTGGATTCTTTTCAGCTAAACATGGAAACGTGAATTCTCCGAATTCTCAAATGCATTGGACGTGTCTGGCTGCAAACTATTGCTCTTGAACAGTCCCTTCGATGCAAGCCAATGATCGTCCATTTCCTGAGGGTTCGGCATGTCGCAGAATTTGAGAAATTCTCAATCAATATATCGAGGTGGAGATCGGAATACTACTCCCGAAAGATTGCTCTACATCATTCACGATATGTTGTTGCAAGTAGTCATGTAATCTATTATCAGACTTAGGGCTTCATTATCTAGTCCAACTTTGAGCTGGGCAGATATGACACAGACTGGAAGAGCATGTTCCTGAATAACTGCGCTGGAAGGAGGTCATTCCGAGGAGAGCATTCCAATGCAAACTCAACAAGAGGGTTAGATTGTAGGTTATTTGAGTCCCACTCATGAGTTATGAGTTATGGAAAAGAGATATTTGTTTCCGACTTTGTGACTCTGATGTCGTCGTATAATAATATGTCACTTTACTCCTATTCATTTAGCTTTCTTGAAAAGAACGGCTACTGGAGATATGAAATAAAGGAAAAGCCATAGACATGAGTGTTTTGAAAACAAGTATACACACTACACCAAAATATAGGCAAGGGCAAATGGGCACGTTTACAAGAAGTCGTGTTACACAACATTTCCTGTAGCTATCGAAGAACTTTGGTCCATATTGGGAACTTGCCAATCAGCATAATTTATTGTTGAGTATCAAAGAATGGAATAATTAGTTCAAAACTTAGATAGAGCACTTTGTTTGTGTTTTAAGAACAAGCAACAGACATGTGGGTGTGTACCATACAAGTAAGTTCGCGTATGTTTGTTTCGTTCCATCAGCATAGGAACATGATTTTCGTGAGACTAGAACTACTTCATCTGTACATTAAATTTTAAGACTTCAAACCGCAGTACTCTGAATCTACAACAAATAAAGAATGCACAGTTCTCAGTCCTAGAAACCTGAGGGCGTACTCAAACGAAATCAAACCTCACTCAATTCATCCAAATAAGTCATGAAAAGCACTTTATTAAGCGCATCCTTCATCACGATATCTACTACTCCAGAAGTCGGTAGCATATGCTTGTTTGGGAGGAGTTGGTGTACAGAGATTGCATGATTCGGCACACTGTCTGCAGAGCGTATCCTGTAGGTGATTATGAATCCAAAGATCCTGAACTGGCTTGTCTGCATTACCTGGACTTTCGCCAAGTCATCACAGTGTTGGTCTCCTGTAAGTGCACTGGATGGCTCTACTAATAAGCATCTCGTTCGCCATTCTTGCAGGATATATTGAAAAGACTTACACTTCCATACAATAACCGACAAAAGGCTGATTTCAGTGTTTCCATTTCACTTGTTAGCTTGATGAGGGCGCTTGAAAGAAACGGGACACCTTTTCTGTACTACGTTCGAGATCAAGAGAACCTATCCGCGACTAAAATGAGCGGCGGCGAGTGGGCGATTTGCAATCGTGGACAAACGTAGCGGCATGGAGCTCGTGATATTACATCTCTAGAAATGGAACGGGAGGACAACAATCTTCAAAAATCACGTCACTTCTTTTCATCTCCGGCCCTATCTCAATGTGCACAAGCCTCACTGAAGACAGCAGTATGCAAACCCATAACAACGAGGCACACTCACTTGACGCCGAACATGCAAAACGCAAGGCAAAGGCCACGTATGAGACTACGGTACATGCATGCACACGCAAGGAGACTCCGATCGAGTAAGCGCCGTCGTCTAGCTTTGCTCAAAGTTCCATCGCTCCATCGAACCCTCTGCTCGATCACGCGCGAGTCCTGTCAGCAAACATGATCCAGATTGATCAAACTGGTCTCTCTATCTTTCTTTATTCGGGTACGAGAATGCTGAATTTCGTGAGCACTATGAGAGCACTGTCGCCCGGCATGGCAGGCACAATCAGAGTGCACGGTGTGCGTATGGCGGCACAATCAGAGTGCGTCTTCTTCGCAAGCAAAGCTGAATTCGACGACGACCTCTGTCTGGTCTGGACCTCTCGGGGCCATCCATCGATCCATCACGAGGACCCTTCTCGGCCGATTGCTTCTCCGCCCGCCGAAGCCCGCCCCGTCGCCACTGTCAGTCCCGACGGTCGTCTCGTCGGGGTTTCGAGATCGTGGCCGTCAAGATCGAGCCCAACGAGGATTCAATTTGAATCCTGAGGCGTTACCTTCTCTCTCCGGAAAGGGACGGGACGGGACGCCGAAGACATGTTTTCGACATTCGAATTTCGTATTCGGGTGAGCAGTGGAGCGTGGGGAGCGGCTAGCTGAACGACTCGACGCGGTGTCGAGTTCGAATTTTCGGTGGAGGAGCCCTTCGGGAGATGAAGAAGCCGAGGCCGCGGGCGTGGAAGCAGACGCCTGCTCTGCGTGTACTCGTTCGAAAGCTCTGATCGGGCGTCTCCTTGTGGGTTGTGTCGTAAGGCTCGACTGCCAGCTTCATTCTTGTGCCGATCCCGTGCCATAGCCTGTCCATTTGGATGTGAGTCCCTCGGTAATCTTGTCCTCTCCTTTGATTTTTCTTCGTGCTGAATTCGTAAGGTTTTCGATCATTTTGCTTCGGGAGTCTCTTCATCAAGCGGTTGAGAAGATCCCGGCCATCGCCGACAGTGGGACGTATCTTCTCCATCATGGCAGAATGCGGGAGATTCGAGCGCCGGGAGAATATTTGCATCTGCGAGACGAGACGATACTTCCTGCTTTTCTGCATCTTACTTCTCAGTTTTAAGTCAGGTATAGAGTATGACAGGATTTTTGGCTGCGTACTCCATGTGTTAGATATTTCAGGAGCCTTAGTCTTGTTCAAAGTCCAATTTGTAAAGATATTTCTGATCAGTTTTTCACCTTTCCTGCGGATGACGAAACTATTTTTTCTGGCTGAAGACTCCAGCTGATCGCTTTTTCTCCATTGGAGATCGTTCTGATGTTGTTGTATCAGTCAAACTACTCTAGTTTACAGCTCATGCTGACGCGAGAAACAATCTAAATTGCAGGGTCTGCATGTCCGTCTCAGAAGGACGACGATCCAAGAACGTTTTTCGTTTTTGGAGACTCGTATGCTGATACCGGAAACGCTCCTTTTATAGCGTCAAGCTGGCGTTCTCCTTACGGTCTGTCTTGGCCAGGCCGACCAACGGGACGCTTTTCAGATGGGATCGTCAAGACAGACGTGCTGGGTATGTACTGCACCCTAGGAACGCTTCTGAAATAAGCTCATTCTGTTGAATTTGGTGTTCGACGACGAACTATAGGTGCATTTTACGATGCAGTACAAAGGTTGATGCATCAGTCGTCATGGATAAAGATGGCTCGTCTCTGACTAGTACCAATGAAGGGCAATGAACGATGCCGAACGATGATAAAAACATATCAAATAAAATGAGATTTTGGGGATTTTAGCAGCCAATCCAGTCTGAGGCTTGTTGTCCTTGATATTTGTGTGGTGAATGAGACCCTTTCGCAGCCTTTCCGTCAGCTCTACATGGGTCACCGCTTTCGTCAGATATATATATATCAAGCCAGCGACATCCAGTTAGTATTTAACACTATTCTTACGAATCCATCAGTAGGTCGAGCTTGTACATGTGCTATACGTGTGGGCTGGCGCGATGCCTCTTCAAACGGAGTTCTTAGTTATTTCCTGTTAAGTTTGAGATGCTTGTTATCTTTCTGATGATGGAGTGGTATCTTCATGGAGTTGAGCTCGTGTCAAGTCAAAGTGGCGGGTCTGGAAATCTGATTCAACTTTGATTGGCCATGATTGGCAGCGTCGGAGGCATTGTGCCTTCCTTCTCCACCACCTTACGCACAAATTTTAAACGCATCGCTCTCTGGCGGCATCAACTTCGCTGTAGCAGGAAGTGGGACGATGCAAGCCTTTGGTACACCACCTTTCGGCGATCAGGTGGACTGGTTCTCGGGTTACGTAGATTCAAAATTATTTTCTCCGTATCTCCTAAAGAATGCAGTTGTCTTTGTGTCTGTATCCGGAAACGACTATGCTGTTTATAATGGCACAACACTTCAGGTATGATGTGCCCTTGGATTGATTAACTAAGTTACTTGCTTCTTGGCAGGCCAATTACACATTCATCAATCACAAATTAATAGAACATTATGATATAATCATCGGCGATGCATTTGTGTAATTGGTAGCCAGATTGAGAGTAGGACATTCGCAAATAGGTTCTCCTACTGTTTCATAGTTCTTCCAGCGAAATCTCAGTCTTTGGTATGCACGTGTACTATTCTTTCTATTGTTTTAGCAGATTTTTAAGTGGCCACCGTGATGGCTCGGGGTTTGATGTGTGGTGTGGTTCTTGTAACGTCTACAGGGATATCTTCCTCTCGTCACTCAGGTGGTGGACTTGATCGAAAGGAATCTTCGACAACTTTACACACTGGGTGTCAGAAACTTCATGGTGTCCACTCTTGCTCCTCTCCGTTGTTTGCCAGCCAGGACAGCTTCGACAGGTTACACTGAATGCCCAAAAAATAACACTGTGGATCGAGTGATTTCAGCTCATAATTTTTTACTACAGAGGACAATTAGCTCAATCATTAAAACCTCGAAGGATTCAAATTTCATTCTCTTGGACCAGACCAAAGCGTTATCCTACATTCTGAAACATCTTTCAGACTTCGGTAAGCCACAAAATAATCGCAACCCTAAGCTTGTAGAGAATTGAGAAAATCCTTCAAACCGTCATTGTTTTTCTCTCAGCAAATAGCTTATTACAGCTGACATAGGTACAAAATAGCTTCATTCACACCGTAGCTGTTGATCAGGTCTGGCTTGATCGCCTTGACTTTTGAAGATGAAAGCTTCAGATGGTGTAGTATTGAAGGCTTGATCTTTATGTTTGAAGATCAAAAAGCTCAATTTGACGGAGACATCACGATGGGTTCATTATTTTGCAGGTTTGACAGAGGGACTGAGACCATGCTGCACAGGCGCTTGTGGGGAAACGGACGAGACAGGAAAACACCTCTACGAAGTCTGCGATGACCCAAACAAGTATCTGTTTTGGGACTACTTTCATCCGACACAAGCAGGATGGAAAGCTGTTGTGAATCTCTACTCCCGCAAAACTAGACCTGGCTTTACTCGAATCTCGCCCTCTCTTGCAGCGTGGGCCGACAACCTATGATCCACTGTTACACACGGATCGTAGAAAGTACTCAGAAGCTCGAAACAATAGATTGACTTGATTTCCTCTAAATCAGTAGTAAAGATTATTGACTACGCTCGTCTTTTCTTGCCCCCTGTTAGCTGTAGTAGACCCTTAAAGTGTCATTCTCTTCCGCCAGAAAAGAAAGCGGGACTCATTGGGAAAGTGGCCATGATCATTGGTGAGGAGTAGAATTTAGAATAAAACCTGACGGGAAACACCCCGGTCATCTATCACTCTCTAAGCAGATGGTAAACATGTCCTGCATAAGCTTAAAAAGCTGCCGTAAGTGAACTTGCTTTCACCGAACTCTGTCCTGCAAGAATCAATTGTTGTCGAAGGAAACGAGTAAGAAACTCACATCCTCGAGGGCACTGTATAATAAGCTTCTCAACAAGTTTTTTTTGGTGAGAAGTGCTATTATGTGTCAGAAGTATTCTCACACTCACGTGGCAAGTATTTTAAACGGATGGCAGTCAAATCAATCGTGCTTGGAAACTCTTCTTTTGAAATCATGCACAGATAGGGTTGCGACATGATAACCCAACAAAGAGCGTCCTAGCTGCTCAACGAAGCTCAACAAAACTTGGATATATAATCGCCAGCGTCCGGTTATGACATGGAGGCATTCATTTTCTTTGTCTCTTTCACTTCAGTGGTCAGAAAGCTTTCGAGTAAAAAACGACAACTACAAAAGCAAACGCCTTGATTTCTTGCATGGCACTTCACCATCGTCATCCGTACCTTCAAGCGCAATAAAAGATAGTATAGAGATTTCCCTGCACAGGTCCCGTCCTGGAGACCATGGAACATTATCCCACAAGCGTAAACCTCCAAATGACTCAAAACAATGATAGTTCTCCCTCTCCCGTCTCATCCTGACACTTGAGTAGTGGCCGGTTAAACAAAGAGCTCTAGATCCTTGGTCTTATTGCACAAACGTCTCTTTGACAATTTTTTGATGCGTTCTGGACGTTCTGATGCGTGTACCATGCAACGAGTACCTTTCTGTCCTAAGGCGGACCACCGACTTGTAAGCCGAGATGAATGCTGGTGGCCTTACTACCCGAATGACAATACAGGTCCCGTTGTTAGCTAAGCTGGATGCTGGTGCCTAAGAGCTGACTTAGCTCCTTCTCCAGCAAAAGCACTAGCTCGTCCTGAGTTCGCCGGTATACCCACACTTTTCTCGATGCTACCCAGTCGAATCTCCCGGGTCCACTGCCAACAGAAACTGATTCCATCAATGCAGATTTCACAAGCTGAAACCGGAGACATCATATCTAAGTAACTTTAGGTGAAGAACGACGAGGTAATAATATGTAGCATAATATCGCAGTTTACTGACTCGACCTATGCGAGAAACTCACAAACCCAGACAGGTTCGACTCAAATCTCAGCTGTAGAACATTGTCGCATACACAAGATGAAGAGCACACCGATCAGCTGCATGCATGGCAGGGCAAGTCTCAACACAGACGACGGTGGCACAAGCAGACATATTTCGAAATTCGAGTAATCACCTCACGGGCGACGATAACCATATTTGCCGATTGGGTGTTTGCTTATTGATGACGTATGTTCCTAAGCTCCCCAAACGTACGGTAAGCACTCCATCCTGCATTGCATTGTAGGATTCTCTAGTTAGGACCATGAAGTCGTCGGCTTCGGTATGTCTCGTCACTCAGCTTCTCGTCGAAGTCTGGCTTGAATTCCGTACTTCACAAAGAAGTGATGAAGCTTCTGAGATGAATCTAAGTCCTGAACCAAGGTGGTCGCGCTATTGACTTACAGCATAGTCACAGTCGAATCCATCGACATTTAAGTCCTCTCCGAGAATCTGCAAGACATCAAACAACCACATCAGATTCTAATATTTAATGGTCATTGCTACCGTACACGTACACTTCATGATACCACGATAAAACTTTTTTGAAGTACTGCTCGGACCTCACAAAGAACTCGGCTTTTGGGTTTCTGCGGGTACAGAAACAAAAAAACCAGGAAGTCATGTACGTGATCAGAATCGAAGCATTCAGGCTGAGATAACCATATAGTAAAACAAGTGAGTTCTACCTCAATCTTCTCCTGCAAGTTATGGAGAACGTCGTCCGCCAAGTCATGAAAATACTCCTCGTCGAGCAAGGTGCTGAAAGGTCAGAATGTCTGAGTGACGTTAGCAACAAGAGTGAGCAGTGAGCTCAAGAATTTTGGGCACTACGTTGATGGCCTTTACCACATCGATTGTGTCGCACAGAGCTAGCAACAGACAAGTTGGTGACAGACACTGTCACCCAGTAGACGTGTAAGAACTATCTCAAAGATCGCTAGCAGGTACAACCTAGGAGATTCCAACAAGGAACTTGCACAAGTTCATAAGAATCAGACGTCAATTCTTGTGCTTCATGAGTTCGATGTTCTACACAGACCTGGCCCATCGGCTTCTTGTTCAGAACATCTTCGCCGGGCGAAACGCGTTGGCTAATCACAAAAACCGAGAAACAAATTGGCAAAACTGTACCTAGGGTCCACAGGAACTGGCCCTCGACTGTTGGCCGTAGAACTGTAAAACCTGGAATTGACCCAACTAACAGGAGTTCCTCCTCTGCCATTGCGACAGACTTTGACAGCAGAGACTCTCGGCAACCGATCGTATTCAAAATCCCTGCTCGGCCGCGGCACCCTCACTATCTCATTCTCGTGCACGCCGCTGCAGGATTCAGAACCTGGAAGCCTCTGGAGCGATAAAAGGTGAGATGTCACTGCGTTCTGAACGGGTCTAGTGGATCCATGAAGTCCTCGGCCCACCGAAACGCCATCGCATGATTTCTTTTGCAATTTTCTGTAAGAAGAAAACAATCGTGGGGCAAAGTTTTGCAATCTCATCTTGTGTCGTACACTGCTAGGCTCCTCCTTCGTTGAATTCTTTCACTTTCGGAAGGTTAACGAATCCTTCATCGGAATCCTGCGGAGTTCCACGGCCATAATTCTTCAGAAATCCCGGACAAGCATCCTGTGTGAAGCCAGTGGCTTCTACTCTAGGTCTCAATCGAAGAATCGTCATTCCATTTCTACAAAATTTAGTCTCAACGCCCTGTACTAAAAACGGCTCAATTCGACGCTGCCCACTAAACAGGCAGAACCACTCCCGCTAAGGAGCACGCCACTTGAATAACATCACCAGCTGCTGATATGAGCTCTACTCAGCCTAACACAAAAAATTCACAGGACGACTGAAGCTCGAATCAGGATGAAACCGTTGGCTTCCCTCTAAAACAAGGAAGAGAGAGGCTCTACCACCGATTAATACTACAAACTGAAAATTGCAGATTCACGAAGTTGATTGCAGAGATTACATGTGCTGCCAAATTTCGCCATATCATAATTTCGTGAATATCATTACTCCGAACTCAATTTGAACAAGTCTCATTAAAACAAACTAACAACAAAAGAAGGTTCAGAGGTTCTTACTGCCGGAAAATTGCAGAAGCGACTGTCGATTCATCGCTGCCCCCGGCCCCAGAGAGCGATCGGTTGAAAGCGATCAGAATTCTCCTCCAGCGAATTTACAAGCCGAGCAGGCTCCGAAGAGGCCTATCGCGAGGCAAGCGGAAGAGAGAGCTGCCGCCGATAAGCGAAGCGAGCAGCAGAGGCTGAATCTCTTCGCATGAATCGAGGAGTCAGGCACTGTTCCTCCAGGGGACGGGAAGGGATGGGACGGGGCCGGACACCTTTCGCGCATCATGAGGACATTTGGCGACCCCGCCTGGACGACAGGAAATGGAGAGCTCTCATCTACCCCTCGAGCTGTCCTTCTTGTCGCGCTCTTGCTCGCAGTTGCAGATCTGCGTGCTGCTTTTGTTCTTCCTGCGCTCAGATAATGTACCACGAAGGAAAGCTGGGGGACCACATTTCGAGATAGATCCCAATGTCATCATTTCGATGACATTGGTATCTATCTCGCAGGCAGCCTTCCTTGTCAACCCTCAGTACCCATAGCTTGAGACTTGCTGGAACTGTTTGTTATAGAATGATCTCTAGCCAGTGATCTTTTTACATCAATGGAAACATGATTTAAATTTTGCATTCTAGAAAACCAAAAGGGTTGGTATCATGAAAATTTGGCATTTATTTATTTGTTTCTGTATAACTCCAAAGCTAAAACAGAATAGAAAGACACTCCGACACACTTGATGGGACCCAACCAATTTCATTTTGACGGATGGGACTTTCTGGACGGACTGTAGCCCACCGTCAGCAATGTTACAATACGATCTGGATTTAGGTGTACTTAATGCTTCAATACGGATTATTCGGTGATAACCTTGCGGAGTCTTTGGATGGAATCATGGCATGACACTTTCGAGGAGTACTTCAGCCTCATGGTCATAATAATGTGGACATCTTTCTTAGAAGTTATGCGCTGTGGCAAAATCGAAGGTTTTATTCTTGTCCGCTATGTTGAGTCTTCGCTTTTCTTTTTTAAAACAATTTTCTTCTAATTGCAATTAACATAGACTTATTGTTGAGAAATTTATTCATCTTTGATCCATTTGTAGGACCGTGCTTTCTACTTTGACTACTCCTGCGATGACCGAATTGTAGATAAAGCTGCTCATCATCATCTTCTCTTGTAGGTCCCTCATTTTTACGCTTTGGACAGTATTGCTATCACAACAAAGCAATCTCAACTACCGGATTCACAAAGTATGCCCGGAAATTATGAAATAAAATTAATAGTTGTGCGAGTAAGTGAGTGTCGCTTCTAATACGTGAATATACAACCTACGATATAGCTACCAACGAATCGTCAATATACTCTCTTCCGTGAGAGTACATGAACTCGACAGGTGATCAGATAATTCCTCACACTAAAGCCCAAAATATCCATTTATAAGCAGTTTTATTGGAACATCATTGATGATGTGCTGCATGGCCATCGAGGGGGTCCATCAGTTAAAATAAAACCTGTTGTTTTTTGGAGGCGTCCCATCTAGTAATTTTCTAAAAACAAAAAAAATGATTTCTTTTTATGTATATTTTAGATTTCGGCTTTTGCTACTCCATTCGTCACACTTATAGACAAATAAGCAATAAGTCTATAATTCCAATGAATTTTATCTCTAAAATAATTACAACAAATGGATTCAATTATAGGTTTGGCTAACCAAATAAACTACAAACATATAAGAATTTTTGCTTTGTATGAAATATCATCTTCTTGTATCATACATACAACACATATTATATCACATCATAATAGTTTGACTTTGTAGTTCAAATTATCAACAAATCATACGTAATTATTATACAGTTAAAGTAATGATGAAGATTGTCATAGATGTATCAAGCTACTAGTAACAATAGTAGTTTAAACTTTCTCTAATCAAGATCTACACAAATGCATAAGTTTTAATATAATAAGATAATAAATATGAAAATTTCATCTATGTAATAGATAAAAAAGTGTGTATGTATATTTTATCATATCTTTTGTGATATTTTCATAACATATTTAATATGTGATATTGTAATCATTTGATTAAAAAATTATCTAATAAAAATTATTAGTTTTTTTAAAAAATAAATTAATATATGATATATATCTTAAAATTATGATAGAAATAAGTTATTTCTAAAAATTCAAAAAAATCACATACACTTTAACTAGAATTTTATCAAAATTATTATGTTTTCACAAATGTATAATCATGTCAATAATTGTCAATTTTTCATCAAAAATTTAGTGAAATTATTTTTTCATAAAATTGCGCGTATATAAGAATTTTTTTTATCTTAATAAAAACCATGTTAATCATGATTTATTTTTTGATAATCAAATTTGCAATTTCTTAGTAAATTGAAGCCATTTGATATTACAATAATTCATTTCTTGACTGATTCATTAAAAAAACTATGTGTTATGTTATGTAATAAAAAATCATATAATTTTTTCATTATTTTTTGTTAAGTAAGTTTCTTATAGTGTTTTGTTTTGTTTTTATCATTTATCTTTTTCAGAGGTGAAATTTATTAACTTTGTGAAGTTATTTGCATCATATTAGCTATGTTTTTTCAAATTTAAAAAAATAAAAATTTCATTGAAGCATAGTATGTATTACATAATATTTGAAAAATAAATATAAATTATTTCAAAAAAACTATTTGATGAAAAAATTTTGTAGTTGATTTTTAATTAGAAATTTAAGTTTAGAAACTAAATTTCAAATTTTCATCAATTAGTTCATTTTTTTCAAAATTTATTACGACTACAAATTTATATAAATCAATTTATGATCGATTAATTTTTCATTTGATGAATATTTTTTTGGAAATATTTAGCTGCACTTAAACTTATGAAGTTTTATGTCAAAAAATCATATTTGAGTTATTCAAAAAAAATGCATGTAGCACATCCATAACTTAGTTATGTTTGTTGTATTTGAGTGATCATTTTTGATTAAGTAAAACTAAAATATGGTTACATTATACTGATTAGATTTTAATCATCACGTTAACAATCCATGTGTTTGTTAGATAGATATTGAATGTGTTGGTTGACAACAAGACGTCAGTAATCCAATGAGTTAATCAACAAACTTGAATTAATTATAATGAATTAACTAAGTTAAGTTAATCAACAAAACTATTCTAAATGTCTCTCATATTTAGAATTGTATTTTGTTACTGAGTGAATTGCTCCTATAATTTCTAGTGTTATAATGGTATTAAAGCTACATTGCTCTTTACTCATAAAGTAGAAAAAATATGATGATAGCGTTTGATTATTGAAGATACACAGTGACTGATAGAGTCCATTGATTTGCATATAGAGAGAAATCGAAAAAGTATCATAAAATTCTGCACATATACAAGTATCTGACATAAATCCAAAATTGCAATAACCAATCTTTAATCTTTGTGATACTTATCTTTTTTGGTAAAAACTTGCAAAAACTGCAATATGAATTTATTACACAACAATGCTTATACGAAAACATATGGAAGACAAGCAAAATAATGCCCAACAAGCAAGAGCAATCAAACAAAATACAAACAAACAAAAATCACCAGACGTCGTGCAGATGCCAACTTTCAACCTAGAAATAAAACTAATAAAAAGTCAAACATTAACTCCATAGCACCAAAAGTGCATCAAATTGAAACCTCAAAACAACCTAGAAGACCAATTACAAAATAGCTATTAAGATGGGATCAGGTATCCAAGCTTTAGAAAGATCGTCCACACAAACAAGCATAAAAGAGAAAAGAAACAAAATGAACTTGGAGAGACAGTGCCGGAAGGTAGTCCAAGGGGAAGAGTTCTAACAAATACAAGAATATGATTGAAGCATGGATTCTCATAACCCAATCCAAATCACAAGCCGATACTTAGCTGACCATCACTATTAGAGAGATGCATCTTCCAACAAATTTGCAAAACAATAAGACATAATGTGAAACCTTGAAGATAAAGTTAGCATTGGAGCGGATCAACAACCCTTCTAGCAGAATTCAATGGAAAGTTTGGAATTCCTGGCAATTGGTTTAAAACAAATTGCGAGGAATTGCTCCTAAACCAATTGCCGTTGCCAGGATGGTTTTTAAGAGAGTAGCGCAGAACAAAAGAGCAACAAGAGGAGGGTGTTAGTTAGGAAGAGAAGGTACTTCTAGTAACACATTGGCTGAAGGAAGGGTGCAGCGGGACCGGTGCTGAACAACTCTAGAACACATGAACGTCCTCACGTCTTGAAACCAGAGAATTATCAAAATTCACAAAGACCAAAAGTAGTGGTAGATACACCGGAAACGTCGTCTGCACCTAGGAAATCATAAGGAAGGAACGCGTAAGGAAAGATGGTCGAAAGCAGAAAAAGTATATCCTTCTAGTTCATAACAAATCATAGCTCACGAGCGCGGCGCCTAGTAGAAAGAAGCATAGTCGTAATGGAGCAATCAAACAAAGCAAAATCCTGAAAGTAGAGAATCTCTTTCCTAGATCAAGCATGAATGAACCGTAATAGACTTCAGCTCGATCTTGGAGACAAAACAATACACAGTGAATCAAATTTGAATCCCAAGAAATCCCATTGACGCAGTGGCGCGGGAGTCTTCAAAGTCAAATTCTGAAACTGATTTTCAAAAGAGGTTTCGTATCCAAGAACGTTGAGAAGTCAGTCATTCGAAAAAATCCAAAGAACAACAAGTAGACGTTGCTCATGCTTTCCATCCGCTTCGAAAGAAGCTAAAAAACGATGGAAAATCGTGATAACCTGTTGCGACTACCTCGCCCCTTCGTTTTTCCGGACCCCTATTCTCCGTGTTTCGCGGAGGGTTAGGATTCAGCTTCCTCCTTTCTTCAATCACAGTACATTTATTCACATTGATACTCAGACGTCTATCGTACTCTGATAGACGTACGATTGAGCGTTAGACTTCATGCATACTGGACACATATCATTCAATGCAAGAGCAAATTGCGACTATAAGTCCAGTTTCGCACCAGATTCTGCAATTTCCACTGCACAGGAATTAACCCTCTCCTGCTTGGAAAGCAGAAAGGTGGTGAGGATTTTCCTTCTCCAACTGTTCCGATGAGGGCTTTTTAGTAGATTCTGGAGGTATTGTCAACTAGTTCGACTGCTCTCGAAGTAGCACAGAGTAGGTGAGGATGAGGAAATAACGATCGCTGTAAATAAGGACGGTGTCGAGTTTGCACGGAGAGAAGAAGAGCTCTGTCGTCTCCATCATAAGAGTTGAAGCGACCCAGCCAGATCGATGATTTTGAGGTTGGAACACATAAAACACACCAAAACATCCATAACAAAGAAGACACGGAGGAAGACTATCTAACCAAATCTTTATAGAAACAAGTTACCGCAAGTCAGCACTGGTATGAGCATATGTGGATGCCATG